TGTCCAGGCTGGTCTCAAACTCCTGGCCTCATGTGATCAATCTGTCTCAGCCTCCCAAAGTGCTGGGATTACGGGGTGAGCCACAGTGCCCAGCCCAGAACATACATTCTTTATAAGAACAGGTGGTATATTTGCTGAGAGTAGGCCTGGGCAATACAGGCCTGAATAAGTTGGTTATTTTAAAAGATAAAACTAATAAACCCCTGGCCACTTATTAGCTTGGTTATCTTGGTTAAGTCATTAAAGTCTCTGTGCCTCAGTTTCCTTATCTATAGAATAGGAATAAGCCCTAAGCCCTACCTCAAAGAGGCATAAGGATTAAATGAGACAATACACTCAAAAACTGAGTGAAAATGTAGCAGCTCTTATTATTATCACATCAACACCATATCCTTTTGGTCTTTATTACCTATACACATAGCCATGTATTTTTATGTATACAGGCATCCTGATGAGCACTTACATCTTTTTTTTTTTTTTAATTTTTTTTTTTTTTATAAGATGAGGTTTCACCATGATGGCCAGGCTGGTCTTGAACTCCTGACAGGTGATCCACCCACCTCGGCCTCCCAAAGTGCTAGGATTACAGGTGTGACCCACGGCACCTGGCCCAAGCACTTACATCTTTAACAGGCATTCAGTTACATGTTAATGGAAAAAAAATACTGAATCATGAGCCAGACAACCAAGGTTAAGAGCTGACAATGTTTCCTCACCTATAAAATGAAAGTAACACATCTGCCAACCAACCCTTCATTAGGTATTATAACTAATTATCTTTTTTTCCTTGACTATATCATCCCACTTAAATATATACTCCATGAAGGCAATGGCCTAATCTTTCTTGTTTTCCACTATGTTCCTAGCACCTGGCAAGTTGCATGACACATTCACTCTGAAATTACTGAAGAAATGAACAAACAGAGTTGTTGTAAGGATCAAATGAGATAATGGACAGGAAAGGACTTTGAAAACTCCAAAACATCATTAATATAACTAAGAATTGACAAATGTACAGGCTACTTATTTCTGCTATCTCCGTATTCCTACTATAAGTGAATCAAGTGAAGAAGAGTTAAGAAAAATACTCCCTGATGGTCACACAGCTTATGGTGGCAAAACCTAGACTCAAAATATTTGTCCCAAGATTTCTGAGATGCAGTATTACTGTGCAATACCAGCTGATAAGTGAATGAAGAAGTGTAACCAACATAAGAGATTACATGTGAAGTGGAAGGCACAGGAAAACTGCATCATACTTCTGGGGTAAAACATAAGGGAAATAATTTATATTTGGCCAAACATGTCAGGTACAACTGATACTCTTATAATTTGAAACATCAAGAATAAAAAGAAATTCAAAGTCTCACCGAATCATTATTTATAGACCTCAGAAAACGTAGGAATAAAAATCCAGCTACACGTCAAAAACACGTGTCACCAATGCAAGGTGAAAGGAATTTAAACTTCAAACCAAATGGCCTCTTCACCTTATAGGCAAATAAAAGTAGATCTTAGCTGTCTATAAACCTAATTCAAACACCTGGAATTAAACATTCTTGAGAAGATCAGCTTTTCTTCAAAACCTACATATTTAACATGTTCAAAATAGAAAGACATTCCTTTAACCTCCTACTTGTCTTATATAATTTGATAAAGCAAAACTTAAGAGACTTACTGTTCTCTGCTTAACCCAGGAAGCTAAACCCAATTACTCAGTAATGTACACGCATCTCATTTCCTAACCCATATGACTCACCAACATAAGGCTTACTACTGTTTAAACCGCACATGTAGAAATAATTGTTTTAAATGCACATCACAATTCCAACAGAAGACATTTAGCAGAGTTGTATTAAGTCACAAAAATACTCATCGCTTTGATAAAACAATACCATTTATAGGAATCAGTCCTATAAATACAATTCAAAAACAAAAAAAAAACCCTTCACTTCTATAGATATTCACAGAAGCATTAGTCATAAGAATGAAAAGCTGAAAGCAATTTAAATGTTAAAAACAGGAAAATGGTTAAGCTAATAGATTATATAGTTACTACATAGGCTACCTATGAAAAATGCAACGCAAGATGAAAAAAGATTCTAAAAAAGGCTAGGAAAAATAGCTGGATTCTAAAAGTGCATGTATAAAATTACTGTGTTTTACATAGTTTATACACTGTATGCTATTTCTCAATCTAAATTATTCTATAAAAGCATATGCAAACCATAAATGTATATCATTTTATATCAAATAAGTCCAACTATAAGAGTATTGGGAAGGATATGAATTAAAAGAAATTCTTATACATTGCTGATGGGAGACTATAACTGAGACAGCTGTTTTGGAAAATGATGTGGCTTTAGCTAGTGAAGATAACTGTGCGCATACCCTGTGGCTTAGTAATTCCACTGCTAAGTATCTCAGAGATCAGAGAAGGTCTCAAACATGGGCATTAGGAGTCACAGCCCACAAGAGCAAAACCCTGTAAACAACCCAAATATTCAAAAGGAAAATGGATAAATCACGTTAAACACAGAATGAAATGCAACGGTGAAAGTAAATGCTATCGTATGTAACAATATGAATGAATCTTACAAACACACTAAGCAGGGATAAAAAGGAAGTCATGACACATTAAATACAGTTTAATACCATTTTTATAAAGATCACAAGCAAAGCAAAAGATACTATTTGGGAATTTTTTCTTTTTAATTTTAAAGGGACTTATAGACCCAAAAATCACCAGAGTAGTTATGTGAAGAATTGACAGGGGAACAAGATAGGGAAGGAACACAGCATATCCAGGCAGCTGTCTTCCTGATATTTTAATTTTCAGTTTAGAGGTGGGTTCACGGATGTTCATCTTATTATACTTCATAACAAACATGCTACAGATAATCTTTTACAGGAGTAAAACACTTTTTTTTTTTTTTTTTTAGTTTTTATAGAAAGAAAAATCGGTTATATATTCCATGAGTAAATTCACAGAAAAATGTGTAGAAAGAAAACAACAGAAACAAATTAAAACATGCTATGGTGCAGAGATACCAGCATGATTCTTTTTTCCAGATTTTCTACAATTTGATTATGCTACTTTTATAATTTTTAAAAACACATTCCCTGGAAGATACACATGAAACTGTCAGCACTCGTTGCTCCCTGGGAGAGAAACTAGATGGCTGGAGAAAGTAATTGAGGAGCCTTTTCTCCAAATGCCCTTTTTCACTTTGCTACTGTACCAAATCAATATCTAAAATAGTCAAACACTTTCTATTTAAATTAAAATGTAATTTAAAAAAAGATTGCCATTGCCACTATAAAGACAGTATTTATTAAATTATCATTTTTTTTACCCAATAAAGTTGTGGGTTTTGTTGTTGTTGTTTTGAGGCAAGGTCTGGCTCTGTCACCAATGCTGAAATGCAGTGGCACGATCTCGGTTCACTGCAACTTCGACCTCCAAGGCTCTAGTCATCCTTCCACCTCAGCTTCCCAAGTAGCTGGTACTACAGGCACATGCCACCATGCCTGGCTAATTTCTGTATTTTTTGGAGAGACAAGGTTCCACCATGTTGCCCAGGCTGGTCTCAAACTCCTGAGCTCGAGTGATCTGCCCGCCTCGACCCTCAAAGTGCTGGAAATACAGGTATGAGCCACCACCCCCAGCCATAAAGTTTTTTAAAAAAAGGAAAAATAGGCCGGGCGTGGTAACTCAAGCCTGTAATCCCAGCACTTTGGGAGGCCGAGGCGGGTGGATCATGAGATCAAGAGATCGAGACCATCCTGGTCAACAAGGTGAAACCCCATCTCTACTGAATATACAAAAAATTAGCTGGGCATGGTGGCGCGTGCCTGTAATCCCGGCTACTCAGGAGGCTGAGGCAAGAGAATTGCCTGAACCCAGGAGGCGGAGGTTGTGGTGAGCCGATATCACGCCATTGCACTCCAGCCTGGGTAACAAGAGCGAAACTCTGTCTCAAAAAAAATGAAATAAAATAAAATAAAATAAATAAAAAAGGAAAAATAACATGTTTTTATGAAAGTACATTGTTATTTTCTGTGGTTCCCAAACTGCACTGAGACACCACAGGGTGGTGAAAGGTTGGCACTGCCAGGACATTTTAAATTTTTGAAGGAAAAACAACATCTGCCAGACACTGCACTGACTAGTCGCTGTGGTAGTTCACATTCAATAACAGAGCATGCCATACTCCTTTCAGTAAGGTCTTAACTTTGTGAAGCTCAGTCTTCAGCAGTTGCTGTGATAAAAAGCAAGTACCGTAAGAAAATTAATGTGTCAATGCAAAAGATCTCATAAAAAAAATTTTTTTAAATTTAAAAAAGAAGATAAATGTGGACAGGAAGGGAGGGTTGTAATGTCCAACCCGATTCCAAGTTTGAGAAGTTACACAGTGCCCAAGAGGCACATACCCCCTACCAGTCATTACGGTTATTCAAGAATGAAATAAAATATTATTCTTTCCATTTACGTGTTATGATTTTTTCAAACACCTACTAAGTTGTTGGGACATATGTACTTGTTAAGCTGTTTAGACTGACTTACTTTGTAAGTGGGAATACCATTAGGTGTTTCTTTTGGCCCAGGATGTGCCATGAATAAACTACCAGGACACCACAGGTGCCATGAACTCAGTTTGGAACTCCTGATCTACTGCATTTAGAAAAAATCCTACCACTTTCCGAAAGAAACATCCCCACTAAAGTCCTAAAAAGGGAACAGAAGTCTTAAGTGTTCTTTGTAAATCTCCCTTACCTTTTTACAGAAAGCAAAAGCTAAACTTTAAAGGTAATTTAAGTAAGATACAATAAATAAGGAATAAAGCTCTCCAATTACACAAAGATTTCTGTAGTTAATCTATATGAAGAACATATTAGCAAGGATAAATTACCTTTAATCCTCCAGATTTATCTCTAGAGGCCTAAAAGTTCTATTGATCAAACTGGAAAAGCAGCCTGGAGAAACCCAGGCTACCTACCGTCTGCCCCTCAATAGCAGCTCGCTGGCGCCCTAAGACATCTTGCAGCTGAGTGAAATGCTGAATGAAGGCCACCACCTCTGCCTGGAAACGCTGAGTATGCACATACTGCACAGAGGCCATCTGGAGGCTCACGCGAATGTCATGTTCTCTCCGGAGCAGAGGGTCAGGCCGTCCATATCTGAGAATCAGGATAAAAATGTGACTCAGATAACAAGACACAAATTAGTATTTCACAGAAACTCAGGTTGATTTAGGGGCCTCCCTAAAAACAGCTTTAGCTATTAAATAGAAATCCAAACTTAGGCTTTACAAAGCAAACTCTAATAATTACTCCCTTTGTAAGCTTCTGTGATGGGATACAGGTGTGGTAGCCAAGAGTATAAACAGGTGGACAGCTCTAGCACTGAGGTCACACGCAGAGGCCACCTGAGGCTCTGACCTTTCTCCCTGCCTCTTTTCCCTGCCTTTAAGGTAAGTATTCCTGCTCACTGTGTTCCTGGCAAAGATGGTGAGGATATGAGTGAGAAAAACAATAAAAATAAGGCCATGAATCAATAAGTAAAGAAAATTAGGCATCAGAATCAATGTTTCTGGGAAAAACTATCTTCTGGAGGCAGAAAGGTATCTTTTTACTTCAGTAGAATATAAGTCAAAGAGTTCTGGAATCCATCTTCAAAGATAAATTAGAAGACTTCCCACAGACGTGGTGGCTCACGCCTGTAATCCCAGCACTTTGGGAGGCTGAGGTGGGCGGATCACCTGATGTCGGGAGTTCAATATCAGCCTGACCAAGATGGAGAAACCCCATCTCTACTAAAAATACAAAATTAGCTGGGCATGGTGGCACATGCTTATAACCCCAGCTACTCAGGATGCTGAGGCAGAAATATCTCTTGAACCCAGGAGGCAGAGGCTGAGGTGAGCCATGATTGCGCCATTGCACTCCAGCATGAGCAACAAGAGCGAAACTCCGTCTCAAAAAGAGCATGATGCCATAAAGACATTATTATATAGGACACAGTCAACCAACATCGCTGAGTCCTTATTTTGTACTAGGCAGAAAATTAAGAGTTTTACATTAATTATCTCATTTATTTTAGAGTCATGACACCAAGGTACATATTATAAACAAATCAATTCTCAGTAGGGTATAATATAACTCCCCTAAAAATGAAAAAGTCCTCAGACACCTTTTTGGAACAGTTTTTCTCAACCTTAGCTGAACATTAGCATGTTTAAAAAAAGAAAAAAAAAAAAACTGGCCGGGCATGGTGGCTCACACTTGTAATCCCAACACTTTGGGACGCCGAGGTGCGTAGATTACCTAAGCTCAGGAGCTTGAGACCAGCCTGGGCAACATGGTGAAACCCCACCTTTATCAAAAATACAAAAAAGTAGCAGGGTATGGTGGTGCATGCCTGTGGTCCCAGCTACGCAGAAGGCTGAGGTGGGAGAATCACTTGAGAATGGGAAGGCAGAGGTTGCAGTGAGCTGAGATGACATACCACTGCACTCCAGTCTAGGTGACAGAATGAGACCTCAACTCAAAAAAAAGAGAGAGAGACTGAGCATGGCCCTAGACCAATTAAATCAGAATATATAGAGGATAAACAAAAATGCATAATGAACACTCATATCATCAACAACCTTCTGAAGCTGAAATCATTCTAGAACTTTTAGAGCTACATGGAAGCTTAGAAATGTTCTAATGATTTCAGTCCCCTTAATATATACATAGAAAAACTGATGCATGAAGACTACGTGACTTATCTCAGGACACACAGCAAGTTTGTGGAAAACCAGCATGAGAGCCCAGGGCTTTTAATAATCAGAATTGTTCAATCATACCCTATCTAGGGTTTTGAGACAAGGCCTCCCTCCATCACCCAGGCGGAAGTGCAGTAGCACAATCATGGCTCACTGCAGCCTCCAACTCCTGGGATCAAGGGATCCTTCCACCTCAGCCTCTCAAGTAGCTAGAACTACAGGTACATACCACCATACCCAGATAATTTTTTGCTTCTATAAGAGTCAGCGTCTCACTATATTGCCCTGGGTGGTCTCAAACTCTTGGCTTCGAGCAATCCATCTGCCTTGGCCTCCCAAAGAGCTTCAATTACAGGCGTGACCCACTGCACCTAACCTATACTCCATCTGTTTTTGAAGCTTTAAGTAGCCCGCTTCAACACAGATCCATTTTAATGAAATGTAATGTAAGTCAGGAAAAACTCCTCACAATCGTAACTTCTCAATTTCACGTCTAAGAAGGTAAATTTTTTTTTAAGTTTTCTTCATTGGCCAACAAAAATTTGAAACAGCAAGTATTATGATAAAATATCAAGTCAACATTTTTACTTAAAAGTCTGGAAGATAAGTGCTTCTTCTCCACTTGTAGTGAACCGTTCTCTGTAGAACTCTCCATGGGACGTGAGGTCACTTAGAGACAGACTCCCAATGCTGCCCTGTAAGGCCAGGTCTCCCTCTATGGATGTTAAGATTAGATCATGTTACTATGTATCTTTTTTTGTCATACAACTTAAATATGTCTGGAACAAAAGCTGGTATACACATACCTCAGACTTTTCACTTTGTAATCAAAATAAACATTGAAAGCAAATTTTCATATTCCAATATATCCAGAAAAATATTTTATGCAATATTTAAAACAAAGTCTCAATGCAAAAAAAAAAAACAAACAAGAAGAAAGTGAAATAATATAGCAACATCACGCATTTAAAGGATAATTAAATACAGACAGAAACTTGATGCTTTCTGAGATGAGACCGCTAACTAGAATTAGTGAAACATTAGGTCTATTAATCATAGTATGGATAAAAGAATAGGAGGAAGTGTCAGAAACATGTCACATATTCAAGCAACATTAAGTGTGTCTTAGTGTGATTTAATGAAAGACCAAAATTAATGAGGTAGAAAGACACTGGAGACATTAATTTGAAACTACTCTGATATATGAGTGAAGCTCCTGGAAGAAGAAAGAAGGGGTGACTGAAACATGTACAACTAGAATGTGAACCTGTAATGAGTCATTCTTAACACCGTATGTATACTAAATAGAAATATTCTGAACTGTTGCCTCTGTAAAACAAAACTTATTATCATAATTATCATTATAAAACAATTACTAAGGTATATTTGGCATGCTAGTTCAGCTCCCAGTGAATCGAAGATATTTATTAATTTTTTTTTTGAGACAAGGTCTCACTCTATCACCAAGGCTAGAGAGCAATGGCACAATCATGGCTCACTGCAGGCCTTGACTTTCCAGGATCAACAATCCAACCACCTCAGCCTCCTGAGTAGCTGGGTCTCAGGCATTTGCCACCACAACTGGTTAATTTTTACTATTTTTTGTAAAGATGAGGTCTCACTATGTTTCTCAAACTCCTAATCTCAGGCAATCCTCCCACCTTAGCCTCCCAAAGTGCTGGGATTATAGGTATGAGCCACAATGTCTAGCCGCATACTTATTTTAGATACCTAATGTCATCTAACAAAAATACCCAAGCTTTTACCAGTCTTAAAGACCATTAACAACAGGGATACGCTGTAGGAAAAAAAAAAAAAAAGCCAATCTCCTCTAAGAAGTTTTTCTAAAATAATTGTACAAGGCATGAAACCTCAGCCTCAGTTCATTCCTTCCCCAAAAGACATTCTTGTTTTTACTACAGCATCAACATGTGAGCTTTGTAATCTTCAATACTTAGAAAAGGAAAAATGTTTTCACTTATAAATCTCTACTATTTAGGCTGGGCACAGTGGCTCACGCCTGTAATCCCAGCACTTTGGGAGGCCAAGGTGAATGGATGGCTTGAGTCCAGGAGTTTGAAACCAGCCTGGCCAACATGGTGAAACCTTGTCTCTATAGTTTAAAAAAATAATAAGTTAAAATATTATTTTTTTAAAACTCCTACTATGTAGGACCTGATGTAGCTGATCACTTGTATTCAACTAAGAATTTTAACCTACAAAGTCCCATTGGAGAGAATGCTGGCCACGTGCTGTGGCTCACACCTGAAATCCCAACATTTTAGAAGGCAAAGGCAGGAGGATCACTTGAGGTCAGGAGTTCGAGAGCAGCCTGGCCAACATGGTGAAATACATCTCTATCAAAAAATACAAAAATTAGCTGGGCATGGTGGCATGCACCTGTAATTCCAGCTATTTGAAAGGCTGAGGCATGAGAATCACTTGAATCCAGGAGGTGGATGCTGCAGTGAACCGAGATTGCGCCACTGCACTCCAGCCTGGGCGACTAAGCGAGACCCTATCTCAGAAACACAGAATAAAGAATGCCAGCTTTGCTACAATATCCTCCAGCATTAACACCATGCCCTCTACTGGTAGCTCCCCCAGCGTATGACTCTAGATGGAGCCATATCCTCTGGTTTTCCAGACAGCTTTGTTGTATGCCTGTTTTCCAGGTGTAATTATATTAATGATGTCCACTTTCACTCTCAAAAATATCCCAATCTGGACAAAGAAAAAGTTAAATGGGCACCCTGGATAGAGTTTGCTGAAAACAGAGATAGACAGCAGGCTCCATCCCAACTCAATCAGATTGTTGGGAAGGAGATGAGAGACAGGAGGAGGGATGACGCTGTGCCAACAGCTGTGCTTTTAACAAGCTGTCCAGATGATTCGGATCCATTAGCCAGCATTTGGGAACCACAAACATGAATCCTGGCCAGACCAATAACCACAATCAAGCCACTGCTACTCCTTACTCAGCAAGTGAGGACAATCAATTTGTGATCACAATGTTCAAATGCTGACCAGATTTGCAAGTTTGCTTCCCTCTGCCCCCCACCACTTACCAATCATTTCCAGGTGTGCTACTAATTTGGACACATTTGCTTTGGCAAGCTCACTGGTTGTCTTATTCAGCACCAGAGAAAGTGAATGAACCTAGACACAGACGAGATAAAACAAGGCCAATATTACTGGGGAGAAAAGGTATCTTTCAGGAAAAGAGCAGAACAAGGAAAATGCAAAAAGGCTTGGGAAGTTTGAAGGTAATGCTTTTAATGATGCCGGTTTCACTTAAGCTTTCCTAAGCCAGACAAACCACGACCTGAGGACAGAGTGGATAAGAAAGGGACTGAGCTGGACAGTCTACATTTCAGTGTCTATGGTGCCTTCCCTATGCTTGCCTTGTGTATTTTCTGTTCACGAGATGCTTTACGCTATAAAACTATTTTTCTCATTTTGGCATTCATCATTAATATTGTACAATTCTATAGTAACTCAAACAGATACAGTAAGTCTCATTTTAAGAAATTTTTCAGAACAAAATGATAAATACGATTTAGAATCCTATTTACTGTCTTTGAACAAATAGGCGCCCACCATCAACCAACTGAGACTTCACCTAGAAACCATAATCAAAGACTTTCTTTCCTAGAGACAACTGTAAATAGAAGAAAAACAAAATCCTCTGTCTTGAGAGTAGCATTCTTTGTAACAAATAAATTCCACAATGCAATACTACAATTGCAGCTATTCAAAAAGATCTAACATGTCTAGGATTTGTTGAGTTAGTTCTCAACAACCTTTTTTTGCTTTGAGTAACATCACAGTGGACAAAACGTTGATGGAAGAGAAAGAAGGAGTGAGGAAAAGACTGAGAGCAGATTTAACCTTCAGTTCACACCCACTGCTTCCCGATGGCAGAGACCATGCCTTTACCCCTTTGTCTTTGTCTTCAGTGCCTACCACAAAGCAGGTGCTCAGGAAATGTTTGGTGCATAAGTAATCAGGAGGGGAAAAAAAATAGGAAAAGAAAGAAGGAATGTAATAGAAGGAAAGGAAGAAGGAAAATCATTATAGTAGAAGACAGAGTTGGTTGGTTCTTTACTATTGGGTGTGGAAAAGAATAAAAAATAAATAAAGAAGAAGACAGAGAAAAAGGAGTGGGTTATTGCAGTTGGAGCAATGACTGCAGTGGGCACTCCAGTTCCCTTGCAATATGATTTCTGACACAGACACAGAAGGAATCTCAAGGCAAGATCATCATGGCGGGAATTAAAAACCTCTAGTCAGCCAGGCACAGTAGCTCACACCTGTAATCCCAGCACCTTAGGAGGTAGAGGCGGGAGGATCACTTGAAGTCAGGAATTCCAGACCAGCCTGGCCAACATGGTGAAACCCCATCTCTACTAAAAATAGAAAAATTAGTCAGGCATGGTGGCATGTGTCTGTAATCCCAGCTATTTGGAAGGCTGAGGCACAAGAATCACTTGAACTCGGGAGGCAGAGGTTGTAGTGAGCCAAGTTTGCACCATGGCACTCCAGCCTGGGTGATAGGGCAAGACTCTGTCTCAAAAAAATAAAAATAAAAATAATGAAAACCTCTAGTCATTTAATAACCAAAAGAACACATACACTGGGTCTAAAAACGCTTTGGTTAGAGGAATCCAATCACCACCACCACTTGAACCAACTCTTCGCATGAATGTTAGTGTCACTAACAAATGATGATCAGACGCTGTATGCCTCCTGCCCTCAACGCAAGAGGAAAAGCACTCAGCAGCCCCTCTGGCATGTTCTTACCAAGCTGAACTGAATCTGATGGGGTCTCCAGAGCTAACATCCACTTGTTAAAATAGAGGATTAAAAGAAGTCAAACAGCCAAACAAGGAAACAGACAAACATAAAATGTGGGACACTCTACAAGGCACTAACCCAGCTTCTGTAACAAGTCAACTGGTGGTAGGGTTGGAGGCAAGCACATATATTTTAATTAAAAGAGATTATTTAAAAGACATGAGAGCAAATGTAACATGGAACCTTCTCTGGATCCTGATTCAAATAATTCATGCATCAGGCCCAGCACAGTGGCTCATGCCTGTAATCCCAGAACTATGGGAGGCCAAGGCAGGCAGATCACCTAAAGCCAAGAGTTTGAGACCAGCCTGACCAACATAATAAAATCCCACCTCTACTAAAAATACAAAGATTAGCAGGGTGTGGTGGCACATGCCGGTAGTTCCAACTACTCAGAAGGCTGAAGCAGGAGAATACCTTGAACCCAGGAGGCAGAGGCTGCAGTGAGCCAAGACCACACCATTGCACTCCAGTCTGGGCGACAGAGTGAGACTCTGTTTCAAAAAAGAAAGAAAGAAAAAGAAATTCATGCATCATTTTATTTAATTCTCCTTATTTTGTAAATGAGAAAACTTTGGCTCAAAAAGCACAGTATTCTACTGAATTACAGAGACCAAAAGAATAGAAAGGCAAGAAGTTTCTTAAACCATTCATTCCTCCACAATCCACCAATAAAAGGGCATTTTTAAGACAATCAGAGAAATTTGATTATGAACTGCTGAATGTCAGAAAATAACAAGGAATTCTTGTTAGTTGGACATGACAATGCATTGTGGTATGTCCATTATTTTTTAGAAATAAATACTGAAGTATGTAGAGTTGAAATGATATGTCTGGAATTCACCTTAAAATACTTCAACAGGCTGGGTGCAGTGGCTCACTCCTGTAATCCCAGCACTTTGGAAGGATGAGGCAGGAGGATCACTTGAGGTCAGGAGTTCGAGACCAGCCTGGCCAACATGATAAAACTCCATCTCTCCTTAAACTAAAAAATTAGCCAGGCATGGTGGTAGGCGCTATAATCCCAGCTACTCAGGAGGCTAAGGCAGGAGAATCACTTGAAATCAGGGGGCAGAGGTTGCAGTGAGCTGAGATTATGCCACTGCACTCCAGCCTGGGTGACAAAGTGAGACTCCGTCTCAATAAATAAATAAAATACTTCAGCAAAGAAAAAAATCATAAAATTAAAAAAAAAAAAAATCATAAAATAAATGTGATGAATTATAGGGTTGGGCATATAGTGGTTCATTATACTGTTTCTCTGTGATATATTTAAAATTTTTCACAGTAAAAATGTTTTTCAAAAATGCTTATTTTAAAAATGCATTGTTGAGGGACATTTATCCAGTCCTGTTCTCTTTTAAATCCAGCCACCTCAATCAAGGCAAAGCCCTCTAGAAGCACTGCATATTCAACACCAAAGAGTTCATGACACAGGTCATCACAGGCACTTCAGGAACGAAGTTCCAGTTACAGACACATGAAGTCCAAAGAAATGGCTAATGCCTCTCCAGCTTTGATCCATCTTGCTAAACCCAAGGCCTCTTCTCAGAGGCCTCGGAGAACTATAAAGTCATTCATTCACCAGACACTGAACAAGAAAGGTAAACTGGTCCTCTCCCCTCTCTCCTGAGATCCCTTCCATTTCTAGAGGAAAGAGACCTATTGTCAGCTAGGAAATAAGCAAATGGCAACTGAAAAAATATGATTCTCCTCCCTGACTTCTCCTCAGCAGTAAGTTCAAGTCCACACATGCTAAGACAGACGGATGAAGAACACCCTAGAGGTACACAAATGTTATCAGCCAACGCAGGGTTCCAGGGCTCTGGACTGGTGCTAGGTACAACAGGCCTATATGCCCTCAAATGGGCTATTCAGGTTAACTGTTTCACATCCTGCTGTTCTATCACACAGAGCAGAATAGCGTTAAACTCAAATGCTTTTTTTCCCTTAACATTTACAGTATGAGTATCGAGGGCAAGTTATAAGTATGGTAATCCATGTAACATAAAAATAATAATGGCTACCATTCACTGAATGTTTATTGTGTGCCCACACCATGTGGAGGGCCTTACAACAACTCTATGATGCGGGCACCATTGAACATCCGTAGTTTATTGATGAGAAAATTAAGGGCAAAAGAGGCTAACTGGTTTGCCCTAGGCCACATAGCTATATAGGTACAGTGAAAGTACCAGGACTCAAACTCAGGCAGTCCAACTTTTCAGACCTTTCTTAACAGTTACACTGTTGCCCTCAATGAAAGCAAATAATGTTCTAAGAGAATAGGGAGACAGTAACAAAAGCCAAACTTTAAAGTTGCTATTATGGACTGGCGGTGGCTCACGCCTGTAATTCCAGTGCTTTGGGAGGCTGAGGCAGGTGGATCATGAGGTCAGGAGTTCAAGACCAGACTGTCTCTACTTAAAAAAAATACAAAAATTAGCTGGGTGTGGTGGCAGGCACCTGTAATCCCACCTACATGGGAGGCTGAGGCAGGAGAATCACTTGAACCTAGGAGATGGAAGTTGCAGTGAGCTGAGATCATGCTACTGCACTCTAGCCTAGGTGACAGAGCAAGACTCCGTCTCAAAAAAAGTAAAAAAATAAAAATAAAGTTGCTATTACAGACTATACACACATCACCTCATTTGGTCATCTTAGACGACAAAAGATGAGGAAACTATGGTTCAGAGAAGCAAAGTCGCTCCACTGAATTAGAGAGCGCAAAGGAAAGACAAGATTCTTGAACCACTTAAATTCCCTGCCTCCAGATTGGATTTACAGTAAAATCTTTCCCAGAATATTAATGTCTACCTTTTGTAACAAAAACCTAGAGGACTAGATAGCTCCCCTGCCAACAAGAGCTATTTTCCAGAGTAAATGTAAAAGGCTTGAATTTAAATAAACAAGCCCAAATCTGTTTTTAGAACTTAAGGGAGCCAAAGGGAAGTGATGATACCTTGAGATCCAGCTTGGTGTTCACTGGATCCAGTCCAGACTCCATGGAGGCATGTGGCTCCGACTTCACATTGTGTAGAATGCCCTCAGGAGGCACCCTCATTGCATGGTTGTCTGCAGTGGAGCCGATTCCAAAAAAGTCTAATATCACGACCCAGGTTTGCAGTGTGATCAGCACATCCAAGCAATTAAAATCAACATCAATGCTCCGGTTCACTCGACTGTAACTGGAAGAGAATTCTGGATGTTTCTTATCTACCAAGAATATGTTGATGTGGACTAAGGAATCATCAAATTTACTCTTTCCAACAAGTATCTTGGGCTCATTCGCTGTTGGAGAAGGAGGTGGGGTCAAGGGATAGTCCTTGTCTGGGACTTCCTTTTGCTTTTTCCGGGATGTAGAGGTGGGTCTCTGATACAACTGGAAGACATTAGGAGCTTCTTCCATGTGGGAAGGGAGAGAACGAGGCATATCGGGATATTCCACATTGGACACTGAGGGGCAAGACTGAGAAAGATATTCTTTTTGTGCTAAACTAGATGGCTTAGGAGCTCCTCGAGATACCATCAGGTTCTTATATTTGGAATCTGGATTCTTCTCCAGTAAGTCCTCCATCAGCAGAGAACGCAGGGCAATCTGGATAGATAAAGTCTGGGGATGATCTTTGCTAAACTCCACCTCAAAATCCTGAAACTTTAAGCTCACAAGACCTTGGGCCCCCAAAGTCAGATCTCCACTCAGCTGAACCTGAAGCTCTGATATACAAAAGGTGGCTTGAATCTGAGTAAAGGATTTGACTTCCTTCACTGACAAGGACTTCTGAGAGGTGTTAGAAAGGCTGGAGTGGCTGAACAATCCATTCTCCTTCCTTTCAACGGAAGATTCTTCACAGGTACCGAGGGGAGGCAGAGGAGAATCAGGGCAAGGAGAGGAGGTAGCACTGGCTGGATACTTATTCAGATCTTCACTGTACACGAGATTGTCCAGCGTTTGTAAAACCTGCTCATACACGTGCTTTGCTAATACCACCTGTATTGAAAAGAGAAAAATTCAGTTACTCTACTACTGTTATTAAATGCACGAAGATTTAATGCCCATAAATGTCCACAGTTGATATTTATGGGTTGCTACACGAGGTTGTAAGTTAGTTGATAGCAAAGAATATCTCTTTCAATTTTTTCTGTCCTTACCTCTTTCTGCCCCACTTCTATTCACAAGGCCCTCCCTCAGTACCCTACACAATAATCTACATACCATAAGAGTTCAATAAATACTGTGGATTATGCCTGAATCAACAAAGTCATGTCTTTTGACCCCACAAAAATAAATGCAGAAATTGAAGAGAGTGTTGACAAAAGTCTGGCGTGGATACACCACAGGATTGAGAAACAAGATTCATGGTTCTAAAAATGGCTGATCATCACCAATTAGTGTAACAACCAATATTTAGTACTGGTAGTACTTTTTAGATAAAAATGATGATGATCCATGATTAGTTATGTTTCCTTTCTCCTTTACTTCATTTTTAATTAGTTTCTTATTAAAAATATTTTCAGCCAGGCACCGTGGCTCATGTTTGTAATCCAAGAACTTTAGAGATCGAGGCAGGCTGACTACGTGAACCCAGGAGTTCAAGACCAGCCTGGACTACATGGTGAAACCCTGTCTCTACAAAAAATACAAAATTAGCAGGGTGTAGTGTCACATGCCTGTAGTCCCAGCTACTGGGGAGGCAGAGGTCGGAGGATTGCTTGAGCCCAGGAGGCGCAGGACACAGTGAGCTGAGATCATGCCACTGCACTCCAGCCTGGGCAACAGAGCAAGACTCTGTCTAAAAAAACAAAAAACAACAACAACAAAACCATTTTTCAGGCAAGTTTTTTATTTAATGAAGTGCAATTTTTAACAGAGGAATCCAACCAATAGATATAGAAATAATGATGAAATTAGAAAAAGTGACCATTTTGTAACCCCTAATTAAATAATGTGTGCCATCAACGTTCATCAGTGGAATAAACCATTACGTGAATGATTGACAGGGAATTTTGCAACGGAGAAATCAAGGCTCTTGCCACCTAAATACAATTATCCATTCTAGCATCAATAAGAGAGAAAAAAGACATGATTATGTGCCTCCTGATATAAAGTAATACGAAATACACAGTACCACCTACATGAAGTGTGCCCCCAACCCCCTGCCAAAAAAGAAACCTGAATCCAGTGAAACCTATAGAACTAAACCTGTTCTAAAAATTTCACAGGCAATATGTGGGGGACAAGCTAAAGTGGCACTTGAACAGCCAAATCCCAAAAGTGGGACATTCTACAGGGCAAATGACTTAGTTTCTCAACAAAATATGACACAAAGGGACAAAAAAGAGGGGGAAACTAGATTAACAGAGACCTATATAATATATCATCCAAATGCAATGTTTCCAAATGTCTGTATCCTGATTCCAACAAACCCAAAATGAAGACATTTTGAGATGATCAAAAACGTTTCCAAAATCTGAAAATCGATTAAAATTTAGATAATATCAAAGAATGCTCATTAATTTTATACCACATGAAATACCACTGTGGTTATATACAAAGACACACATAGTTTTTAGAAATACATTCTAAATATATAGGGGTGATAATGGCATGAAATCTGGGAGTTGCCTTAAAATATTTCACCAAAAAAAAAAAAAAACAGATGGACAAAACAAACGTAGCAAAATCTTCATAAGTGGAATCAGTGTGATGGGCAGGTAAGGCTCATTAGACTACTTCACTTTTGTATAGGTTTACATGCTTTCATAATCAACTTTTTCAAAAATTAAAATATTAATCATCAAATATTAACTAATTCAAATAATTATCTTATTTTTAAAAAAAGATTATCTAAAATAATGTTTTTAAGATTTTCTGTTTTTTGTTTTTTTGAGATGGAGTTTTGCTCTTGTTAACCAGGCTGGAGTGCAATGGCGCGATCTCGGCTCACAGCAACCTCCGCCTCCTGGGTTCAGTCAATTCTCCTGCCTCAGCCTCCTGAGTAGCTGGGATTACAGGCACACGCCACCATGCCCAGCTAATTTTTTGTATTTTTAGTAGAGACGGGGTTTCACCATGTTGACCAGGATGGTCTCGATGTCTTGACCTCGTGATCCACCTGCCTCGGCCTCCCAAAGTGCTGGGATTACAGGCTTGAGCCACCGCGCCCGGCCTGTTTCTAAGATTTTCATCAAAACAACAGTTAGGTCAATGGTAACCATAAGAATAAGTCAACATAGGCCAGGTGTGGTGGTGCACACCTGTAATCCCAGGACTTTGCAGGGCTGAGGCAGGAGGATCACTTGAGGCAAGGAGTTCAAAACAAGCCTAGCCAACATGGTGAAACTCCATCTCTACTATCTATGAAAGATATAAAAATTAGCTGGTGTAGTGGCACATGCCTGTAATCACAGGTACTTGGGAGGCTGAGGCAGGAGAATTGCTTGAATCTGGGAGGTGGAGGTTGCAGAGAGCCAAGATCGAGATTGTGCCACTGTACTCTAGCCTGAGTGACAGAATGAGACTCTGTCTCAAAAAAAAAAAAAAAAAAAAAAGGGTAAGTCAACATAATCCAATAGAATTCATAGCACATGCTAGATTTAAGGTGAAAAATTCATCCTGGTAGCTAACCATTGATGGGGCAAAAGCTTAGCCAAAGAAGGAAAGCTTTGGGGTACTTCTCTCAGGGGTCCCAGAGACCTCTGGGAGGAACCACTGACATCCAAAGGCAGGCCACTCCATAGACAGCACTCCTGGGTTACTCCACAGCAGCTGCCAGACACAGACCAACTACCCAAGACTGCAGTCCACCGTCCTAAGAGCCTGCCCGTCCTTGCTGTTTTATAACATCCTACTCTTTGCTCTACTCTACGTGAAATCAGGAAAAATGATACTTTTGAAGGAAAAAAAAGAAAAGGTTTATACATACACAAACGCCCAAAAAAGAGAAATCCCTATCCTGGCCCATTTCATTTCAGAGAGGGTAGGACTAATTGTGTTGAAAGGATCTGTCCACAGCTCAAATGATCACAATGTTTCATAGGGTGGGCTAAGTATGTCTAATGTAACAAGAATGATACCCTCCTGGAAAAGAAGACTCCAATTTTGTTAGCAATCTTCTCCCCATTTCTAAATGTCAATGGAATTAAGAATCTGCTGTTTTCCTCTATATAACCCACCCCTCCTCCACATGAAAAAGGCTGACAAGATGGATTCCCCAGACAAAAGGATTCCATGACTGTTGGAACGAAGGTTTCAACAATGGTATTATGTATGAGTGATAATCTCTTTAAAAATATATTTTCCTTCCAACATGTAATATACATAAATATATAACTAACATATTTATAGAGTAATAATATAAACATATGTCTTCAACTACCCTGACGTGAAAATCAGGTTTTTACCTGAACTGGATTGACAAATTTTCCTTCAATCTTCATGATGCTAGAAGTTCCCAGGTCATCTGGGCTAAGAGAAAAAGTCAATTCAGATTCTCTCTCTATAGGGATCTTCTCCAGTTTAAACTGAATGGTAGTATTGTTCAGGATGTGAAAAGCTGGCATAAAAGACACAAAATGACAGACTGTCAACCCTAATATTTACTTCATTACTGCTGAGTAAACATAGAGTATGTAAAATAGAGCCCACGAGTTACTCTTAGACCAGGGGGCAGGTTAGCCTGGCACCTGGAGTCTATGATTGAGAGCAAACCTTGACAACTACCCCGAAGCCAAAACTCATAGCAAGCCGAGGTACAAGATAAATTTACACAAAAAAAGAAACAATATTTTCATCCCACACTTCATTTGGTAGCTTCAAAACACGATGTGGTGAACATTAATCCAGTCCAGAGACTACATTATGCTTCTCTGAGCCACCCAAACTGGCATTTTTCAAAACAAATTATTTATCCTTACCTAGCTTTCAGATACAGATGTATCCCTCTTATTAGACCTAAATCAGAATCTAAGACAATACAAAGTTCTAAGTAAACAAGTTTTATCCAAGCAGAGAAAGCAATCTTTTGGTAAGTATAAAAACAAATCAGTGAATTTACACATGACAACCATAGAAGGATAAGTTCTCAAAGGCGTTAATTTCTTCACCAATAAATAAAGCCATGCTCTAGGACTTACCTAATCTCTGTGTGCCAAGACCAACAGACTGGACTGTTTGGTTTTGGCTGATCAGATCCAGAATACAAACACAAGCATTTTATTTTTAGAACCCTGGACCAACCCATTATAGAAGTAGATGGCAGAATATTAAAGAATATCCAAAAACTAAATTTCATTTTCTATTTACATCAACCCCTTGAGCTATCTTGGGCTAAAATATTTAACTAGGAAAGATCTACAGCTTAGGATCAAGAAAATCAGATATATTTGACCAAATTAAATAATACTTTAACAGCATCCATCCACTGAAGCACCTCTGTAAATGAGCATTAATCCAGTTTCAAACTGGAACACTTTAGAAAAATTAATTCCTGGCTGGGCATGCTAGCTCACATCTGTAATCCCAACACTTTGGGAGGCCGAGGCAGGCGGATCACCACCAGCCTGGCCAATGTGGTAAAACCCTGTCTCTACTAAAAATACAAAAATTAGCCAGGCCTGGTGGTGGATGCCTGTAATCCCAGCTACTTGGGAGGCTGAGGCAGGAAAATCACTTGAACCCAGGAGGCAGAGGTTGTAGTGAGCTGAGACCGCACCATTGCACTCCAGCCTGGGTAACAACAGCAAAACTCTCAAAAAACAAAACAAAACAAAAAAACAAAAATAAAGGTAAATAAATTCCTGTTTTGCCAAATATTACATTAAATGGAAAAGGGTGAAAACATGCCAACCTACCACAAGGCATTCTATTAAAACTCTTTTTGATTTCTTAAATATTAACTGAGGATTATTCTAAAAGAAAATGATTTTTGTTGTGCTGTTTCAGCAAAGGACTCCATGAGCTGGGTTTTCAATCATTAAACAAAATAGAACAAAAGATCAATGTTCCTCACCTTGACCTCTATGCAAAGATTCAAAGAAATCATGTCGTGTGAAATGAGCTTCCTCCTGACTATTGGCACTGCCAGACCTGGAAGGTGGGCAAAAGGTCCGGCTTCCTTCAGACCCAACAGCTTCTCTACCTGCCAACTGGGTACAATTCAAAGAATATAGTTTAATGTCCTTGATTTCCACCTGCAGGCGGTCACTTCTGGATTCATCATCTCCAGCCACAAAATTCTGGATGAATATCTGTCCCAAGTGTCCCACCAACAACTCAGGACTCCCCGGCTTCCGAGGGATAGAAACAACTGGTGATTCAATGTTTATGTTCAAGATTAGCTTTACAGTGTCCGAATGAGATGAAGCTAGGTCAAACCCATATATTTCATTTTCCTCTAAGATAAAGGGTTCCCGAGTCTTCCTTGGAGTTTCAAAGAGCGACACCATCTCGCTATACTCGGCAGTCTTGGTAGCTAGTACGGTGGTGACTTTGGTGGCTGCACTTTTCAGCATACTTCGAAAATTTTCTTCCAGTTCATCCATGGATAAAGTCAACTCCTTCAAAAACTTAGCAGAGTGGTTATAGTGTAAAGAAGCCATCTTCAGGTTGAGAAAACACTCCTGTTTAGATTTCTCAACAAACGTGAAACTCAAAGCTTCAGTGAGGGCTGCATCTTCCATTCTGACAAACACAGATTCAAAGTAGCCAATATCACTGATGATATTTTCATAGCCTACAGAATTCCCAATGCTGACAACATACTGGTTTTTAACATTATCATGTGTCAGATCCATAAGCTGCAAACAGCCGAGAGAACCATTCATGTCAAACATGCTACCCATTGAGACATTCACTTTGGTGCCACCTATACTCGCAGTTGCAATTTTTCTGCCATATTTCTCTCCATTGGCCATTCCCACTGTCCGAAGAAGCAGTAAGTTAAGCCTATGGATTTCCACTGCAACCTCAGTGTTTTGTTCATACGTAGACTGGTAGGTCCCTTGCTCTCTAAAGCTTCTTTCGAAATCAGTCATTAAAGGTTGAGGACTTAAATCATCTTTTTCTTTGGGAAAGGATTTTTGAAGAAAACCAATTAGCTCCACAATTGTCTCTGGATTGAGGATAATATCTAAATTATTCACCTGTAATGAAATCACCTGAAGAGTGCTATCCAAATTCATCGATGGGCACTCTGAACTCACAAACTGATATTCCAACTTAATAAGAGACTCCTGTTCTTTGCTGAGAATGTTGTCAAGCGAAACACTAGTAGCTGATCCATCGTTCACTGCAGCTTCATCAGCTATGTGGGCTGTATTTAGTCCAGAGACAGGAGACTGGGCCCTGCTATCCCGGAGGCTTCCTGTTGGAATATCAAAGCTCAAGTTCTTATGTGAGGCCATCAAAAGGTCAAAATCAGCACCATATGTCTGCATGGTATCTACCAGGAGCAAACCATGCACAGTTAGGGAGACTTCAGCATCATAAGGCCTCTTCACAAAGTGAGCATTGGTACCAAACACCTTGAGCACGGAAATATAGTGGCCGTTGCTCTCAACACCAAGCTGCATACAGTTAACTTTAAATTCCGCCAGGAGGAGCTGCGACTCCACCAGAACCTCCCGGGTATGCTGCTCCAACATCACAATGCTCTGGGTTAAATTCATTACCGAGTCCTGCAAACTTCCCCGCTGCTCCTCCTGGGGAAAAATCTTTTCTTTAATTTGAGTGTCCGAAGTTTTCATTTCTGGGGTGGTGAGGAGAGAAAAGCAATTCTTTAGTGCAGATATTTTATCTTCATTAATGTGGATTTTTAAGTCTGGTAAGTTGCCTGACAGCACGGCTCCTGGATATTTGGGATCTGAAGTGTAAATCAATCGACGCTCTAACTGCAGGTGAACGTTGAACTTCTCCACCACATGGGTTGGTCCCACATCAATATCCTGGACATGTTTCCAATTGTCTTTCACTCGTCCAACCATGATCTGGAGGTCCATAAATGACAGAGAGTACCTCTCATACATCTTTGTGCTCATTAAATGTGCTTGAAGCTGTTCTTCACTGAATTCAACTCCAGCAAAGGGAGGAGTTTTCTCTCCATTGCTGCTGCTTGTCTCGGGAGGTGGGGTGTTAGGAGGTGTGGCCAGGGGGGTCTTATATTCATCATCGCTAAACTGGGTCTCTTCAGATGCTGACCCATCCCTACTTTTTCTCTTAGAGTCATCTGTAGATAAAAAAGAGAAGATTCAAATACATGTCTGCTATTTCCCTCCTCTTTCCCTTATGAAAAATAGAGAATCAACCAACCCCAGTTTGTTTAAGAAAACTGATGAAACTCTAAGCATAACATCTGTGTTTACCATTGTCTAAGGGTGAACTTGCCTATTAATTTGGAAATCAGAACACAAATGTAAAAATATATGGACATGAGAAAAGCTGGAGGCCCCTGACATGAGCGCCACCTGCTGGCCCAACACTGCCTCCCCACCTTCTCCCCTGCCTTGCCATGGACATGGGCTGCTTTCACCAACCCTTCTTATGTCACTCTCTAGAGTCCTTTACTTCTTTTACTTTTCCTGTGTGTTCATTTGTTTCCCCCACTGGAATGTTCTTTTTTTTTTTTCTGTGAAATGAAGTCTCACTCTATCGCCCAGGCTAGAGCACAATGGCACGATCTTGGCTCACTGCAACCTCCGCCTCCTGGGTTTAAGCGATTCTGCTGCTGTCTCAGCCTCCTGAGTCACTGGGATTATAAGCAAGCATACACCACCATGCCCAGCTAATTTTTTTATATTTTTATTTAATTCTTTTTTGAGATAGAGTCTCTGTCACCCAGGCTGGAGTGCAGTGGTGCCATCTTGGCTCACTGCAACCTCTGCCTCCCAGGTAGCTGGCACTACAGATGCCCGCCACCATGCCTGGTTCAGCCTCCTGAGTAGCTGGCATTACAGATGCCCGCCACCATGCCCACCTAATCTTTGTACTTTTAGTAGAGACAGGTTTCACCATGTTGGCCAGACTGGTCTCAAACTCCTGACTTCAGGTGATCCACCCTCCTCAGCCTCCCAAAGTACTGAGATTACAGGTGTGAGCCACTGTGCCTGGCCAATTTTTTGGTATTTTTAGTAGCAACAGGGTTTCACCATGTTGGCCAGGTTGGTCTTGAACGCCTAACTTCATGTGATCCACCCACCTCAGCCTCCCAAAGTGCTGGGATTACAGGCCTGAGCCACCATGCCCAGCATCCACTGGAATGTGCTGAGAAGAGAGGTCTCATCTTTCTTGCTCCACACAGTCTTCCGAGTGCTAAGGTAGTGTGCGCTGAGCAATGACTGCTCAATATGCAATTTTGTAGCCCCAGAGCCACACTCAGCCCCTCTGTCTCCAGCTGAGCAGTGCCAAGACAACTATAAAAATACACCACCAGGGCTGGGCATGGTGGCTCACACCTGCATTCCCAGCACTTTGGAAGGCCAAGGTAGGCAGATTGCTTGAGGTTGGGAGTTCTAGACCAGCCTGGCCATCGTAGTGAAACCCCATCTCTACTAAAAATAAAAAAAAAATTAGCTGGGTGTGGTGGTGCACACTTGGAATCTCAGCTACTTGGGAGGCTTAGGTGGGAGGATCACTTGAACTCTGTACGTGGACCCTGTAGTGAGCCAAGATCACACCACTGTACTCCAGCTGGGCAACAAAGCAAGACTCTGTCTCAAAACAACAACAACAACAACAACAACAAAAATATACCATCAAGTTCTACCATCTATGTCTCTGATCCATATTTATGTTTTATAAGTTCACCTAGATGCTTTCTGTGGCTGTAAGATCCTTTGATACAGAGCAAATTCCCTTTTAACATTCCCCCAGCACCAAACTTCCCACTCCTGTGCAGGCCCTCTACCTTCTTCTCTTTCAAGTCTTCTCTGTGAAGATGAGGTTGAGATTATTTGATAAACTTCCTCAATTTCTTTTACCCCAAGAATCTCCTCATCCTTCTAACCTGTCTCAATGAACAGTTTGGGGACCTAAAGATTGTATTAATAAAATTAACTTCTAGGTAATTTTTACATATGCTCATAATCACAAACAGATGAAATCTCCATCCCTGAAATTAAGTGCTGGTAAATAATGTTTATTGAGACACACAGTGTGGCCAGGCTCAGTGGCTCATGCCTGTAATTCCAGCACTCTGGGAGGCCAAGGTGGATGGATCACTTGAGGTCAGGAGTTCCAGACCAGCCTGGCCAACATGGCAAAACCCCGTCTCTACTAAAAATACAAAAATTAGCCGGGTGTGGTGGTGCTTGGCTGTAATTCCAGCTACTGGGGAGGCTGAGGCAAGAGAATTGCTTGAACCCAGGAGACGGAAGATGCAGTGAGCTGAGATCGCACCACTGCACTCCAGCCTGGGCAATAGAGCAAGACTCTGTCTCAATCAATCAATAAATAAAAATAAAATACACAAGAAATACAAATAAAAACCACAATGAGATACCACCTCACACCCACAAACATGGCTATAATCAAAAAGACAAGACAGTAACAAGTGATGACAAAAATATGGAGAAAACGGAACCCTCCTAAACTGCTTGTCCAGCCATTTTGTAAAATCAATTTGCGCTGGGCACAGTGGCTCACGCCTGCAATCCCAGCACTTTGGTAAGCCAAGGCAGGTGATTACCTGAGGTCAAGAGTTGAGACCAGACTGACTAATGTGAAGAAACCCCATCTCTACTAAAGATACAAAACTTAGCTGGGCATAGTGGTGGATGCCTGTAATCCCAGCTACTCGGGAGGCTGAGGTAGGACAATCACTTGAACTCAGGAGGCAGAGGTTGGCGGAGCCAAGATCACACCACTGTACTCCTGCCTGGGCAACAGAGTAGAAACTCCATCTCAAACAAACAAAAACAATTTGGTACTTCCTCAAAATATTAAAACACGGAGTTACCACATGGCTCAGCAACTCCACTTCTAGGTATATATGTAAGATAATTAAAAATATATGTCATGTCTACATTGCAGAAATGGGGGTGTATAAAAAAGAAAAAAAAAATTTTTTTTAAATGTTTACACAAAAACCTGTACATGAATGCTCACAGCAGCACTTATGCATAATAGCCAGAGTGGAAGCAACTCAAATGGCCATGAACAAACGAAAGAATAAACAAAACACGGAACAGTCATACAATGAACTATTAATCAGCTACACGAAGGAAGTAAGTATTAGTATATACTACAACACGGAAGAATCTTGAAAACATCATGCTAAATGGGAAAGCCAGACATAAAATGCCATACATGACATTATTCCATCATATGAAATGTTCAGAACAGACAAATACAGAGACAGAAAGATTAGTGGCTGCCAGGGGATGGGGAGTGGGAAGGAGAACTGGTGTTTAACAGGTACATACAGAGTTTCAGCCGGGGAGGATGCGAAAGTATCTTTTAAATAGCAGTGAGAATTGCACAGTTCTATCAACATACCAAAAAAATTATATATTTAAAAATTAGACCTGATATTAAGTAACAATGAGAATTGCAAATCCTATCAACGTACCAAAAACAACTGAACTATATGTTTAAAATTTAGAATTATATCTCAAGGAGGAACTCAAGATGGCGCTGTGATAACAACCCAGGATTTAAGCTCTCGGTTAATCCGCGGAGAGGTGAGTCAAAGCTGCATTTTCAGACTGATCTTTGTTGCCCACAGAACGGGGAAATTCCCAAGTATAAAGAAGATGCGGGACACCAGGCAGAGGCTCTGCCTGGAGAAGCCTGCAGCCGGGGTGGCGGCGGCCGGCCCTACCCAGCGATCCCCACAGGGCGCGCTTGTCCGGGTGCCCTGTTGAAACGGCAACCTGAGACTTGAGGGGGCTGAACTCGAGACTGAAAGGGACTTGGGCAGTGGGCCAGCCCAGGGGATTGCAGGGACACAGCGTGTGAAATAGTGCAGTGGGACAGACAAAACGGTGATTCCAAACGCTTGCCGTGGAGACCGTCCCTGAGGCGCTCCGTGGGGGAGGGGCGTCCACCATTACCAAGGCAACCCACCCCGACTGAGACACACGCCCACTGCTGACGCAGCCTGCAGTTGCCGAGGCAACCCGCCCCTACTGAGATACACGCCCACTGCTGACGCAGCCTGCCGTTGCCTAGGCAACCTGCTACAACAGAGAGACTCCGCTGCAGGGCCTAGCGCATGGTGGAGAACGCAGAAGAGCAACAGCCTGCAGCAACAGGGCGAGCCTCACAACAGCAGGGCGGAGCCTCGGCAGTCAAATAGTGATTAGACTGCCTCCTAGCTGGGCAGGACACCTCAACAGACATCCAAAAACAAAGCCCCAACCCCCCAAGACAGAGCATTTGAGAAAAAAAGGGGTTTTTTAATGAGCTCTGTTGCAGCAGAATCAAACATAGCAGCCTAACAGCCCTGAATGAAAAACAGAGCTCACAGCTCAGCAATTGAGCTCCTATAAAGTACAGACTGTCTCCTCAAGCAGCTCCCTGACCCCTCTATATCCAAAAGACTGACATTTGGCAGGCATCATCCTGGGACAAAGATAGCAGAAAAAGAAACTGGTAGCATCCCTCGCTGTTCCGCAGCTGCTACAGGTGTACCCCAGACAAGCAGGGCCTGGAGTGGACCTCAGCAGTCGTACAGCAAAGGGGCTAGACTGGTAGAAGGAAAACCAAGTAACAGAAATACTTCATCACCAACAATCTGGGTGTCCACTAAGAGACCCAATCGAAAAGTCAGCAACTACGCAGACGACAAGTGGATAAATCCACAAAGATGGGAAGAAACCAGCGCAAAAAGGAGGAAAACACCCGAAACCAGAACACCTCGCCTCCTAGAAAGGACCAAAATTCCTCACCAGCAAGGGAACAAAGCTGGACGGAGAACGACTGTGATGAAATGACGAAATTAGACTTCAGAAGATGGATAATGACAAACTTTTGTGAGCTAAAAGAACATGTATTAAATCAATGAAAAGAAACTAAGAAACTTGAAAAAAGATATGAAAAAAGATTTGAGGAAATGATGACAAGAATGGATAACTTAGAGAGGAATATGAATGAACTAAAGGAGCTGAAAAACACAATACGAGAACTTCGTGAAGCATGCACAAGTTTCAATAGCTGAATTGACCAAGCAGAAGAAAGAATATCTGAAGTCGAAGATCAACTCAATGAAATAAAACGAGAAACCAAGAT